TCCACTTTTCATTTTATTAAACAACTTTGTTATTATGTTTTATAGAAAAACCAAGATCAACAGAATCCAGTAACACATGATTAACTTATCAGTAAATTTAACTTTGAGCAGCTAAGATACAAAGTTTAACTTTTCTAGTACACCCTTAGTAAAAAATCAACTGCATAAAATACAAAAGATGTTGTCTAGCATCATAGAATTTTCAGTTTAAAAAGTGATTAAATTATTTAACAATGTTGCAATTCCTCAAAAATCTAAGTTTCAGAGGAGGTGTGACATGTTCTACAGTTTTAGCAAGACAATTAAAACTGGCACTTTGTACAGGCTTTCCATTTCCAGATTGCTTTGATTTTGATAACCTTGCCAAAATTTTACAACTTCAACTATTTTCAGCAAAACTATTAGGTAACATTTGACATGACTATTTTTAATTTACTGATAATCCATCAATGTGCACATAGGCATCTCGTACTTTTCAACTTTTATTAAAAAAGCCGGCGCTCAGAATTTTTTTGCCTTTAGGTATATTTATTATAGAAAAGACAAAAACAAGCTTGAAACTTCCAACCTTAAAAAGTAAGGGTCCAGAAAACGCTGTCTTTGAGGTTGTTTTCCCATTTAACTCTTATATTAAATGGCGAAAGCAAAGTTCATTTGTGTGAAGAGAACATATTAGCCATTCTAATTTTTTTTCTAATTTAATCTCCAAATAATAAACAACACCTCCATTGTGACATGGATTTGAGGCTGTGCTATCACAACCAATAAACTTTAAGCTATGTTAAACACCATGCAAAATAGACTATTGAAATATTTTATTTGCTATATGTTCGTCAGGCTAAATTTTTGATTTTTCACATATTTTTCCTTTAGTTAAATGATGAAGATATTTAACATATTCATCAGTCAAAAAATAGTAATTTTCCCTTTTAATTAGAGGATAAAATTTTTTAGTTTCTTCATTAAATACCATATAGAATAAGAAACATCTAGAAAAGAGAACACAAAAAACATCTTCAGACTCTAATCTATTCTCTGCAAAAACCTGACACCTGAAATAACTTTATCTTTGGCTCTATAACATTGTTGGGATAAAAACAAACTTTGTTTTTATCCAGTAATAAAAAAAGAGCTGATTCTAGAACAATTTTAGCCTCCACTAAATCTTTTAAAAATCCTAAAGCAATGGCATCTAGAGCAGTGTTTGAATCTTTATGTCTTATTGCAGCAATAGCAGTATTTAAAAGCTTTATATAGTTTTGCTTTACTTTGAAATCATAACTTTTGCTTAATAAATCAGTATGTTTAGTGTAACTAGAACATTTGAACTCACTTTTAAAACACTCTTCTTCATTATTACTTTTTTTTAGAACCTCATCATAGGTTCTTTTCAAAAGGCCACTATTTATCAACATCTTAAAATTCTGTTCTTTCTTACTACATCGCTCAATAGTCTTTTGCATCCTTTTAATCTCTATGTAGTCTTTTGATCCTATCTTTGAAATTGTTCTTCCTTTTTTTTCTCTGCAAGTTTTTTTTTTCTCCTTCTTTTTTTCTCTGCAAGTGAATAAATTTTAATTCTATTATAGGAATCCTTACTGACTTTTCACATTTACAGTTAATATAAATTTTTTTTTCACATCCCAGACAACTTGATTCATTACAGAATAAAACTACACATTTGTAGTTAGTTATATCAAACAGTTGTGACATTTCTACTTTTTTGGTTAATTTTTTTCTGCAAATATCCTCAACATCAGTATAAACTTTTTCGATATTTCTGTCAATGGACTTATCTGTAAAAATAAATGGAGATGAAAAGTCTGAGTTTGCTTTTTTCCATTGTTTAACAACTTCCAATCTTGATTCCCTAACCAAATCATCCAATGGATATACTTTCTTTTCTGACAACTCTTTAATAAGTATAGCTTTTATAAAACAGCACTAAGAGATAGTAACTCAGATAGAATAAAGTCTCTTCCTTTTACTTGAGGAAAAAAGTTATCATAATATTATTATATTAAGATGTAAGATTAGTTACAAACAAATAATGCTAATCTTAAATATTAGATTTTGTAAGAAGAAATTGTATTATTTATGGCTTAATGTTAATAGTATTTTTACAATAATATAATATTAATAAAATATTATATATGATTTTAAAATAAAGCAACTATATTCTCAAAAATTGTATACCTATTAAATCAGATATTGCTGTGCTTGTCTTTTTTTCTTGTTGTTTTACAACTCATTGTAAATTACCTCTTTTACTTTGACTGTATAATATTGTTGGGTTTAAATAAATAAAAATACAAAAGCGAAATACAAAAAATACTATATAAAAAAATATCGAACTTTAGAAAATATTTTGTTTAAAAATTTCTAATTGAAAATTGTTGTAAAATGTGAAAAGTTTAATTTTATGAAGAAGTTTATAGGTTTTTTTTTGCTTCTGCATAAAAATGTATTTACGCTTCAAGTTTATTTTTGGGTCAATAAATATAACATTAAATCAATTTTGGCAAATGAAGACTTATTAATAGCAGCTTTATTTTAACAGATTTTACTCTTGAGTTCCTAATAAACGTCCCCCGTCCCCCGTCCCCTCCTTTATTAATTTTTTAGATATTTTTCCCACCCACCATATGATTATTAAGACCCCTCTGTTTATTAATTTTATTTACTTGTTATCAACAAAAAAGTTATATATCTCAAAAGTGAAAAAAAAAAATTCAGTGAAAATCGGCCTTAAAAATTTGAAAATAATTTTTAGTCACCGATAAAAACAAAAACTTTCAGTGAAAACAGGTTTTACAAATTGTCGACCTATTAAATCTTGATTTGCTAAAAATAAACTTTTAGTTTATTTCTCAACAATCCTTTGGTTTTAATTATAGGACTTGATATGTTGAATATAAGCTTTGTACGTTGCAAAGTATAAAACTTATATTAGCATAAAAAATCCTATTGAAATTATGATAAAACAGCCTTACCCTACCCTAACAGCTGTTAGAAAATGCGCTTTTGACCGCAAGTCAAATGCGCATTTGACTTAAACATGCATAATTTGCACGCAGAATAAACGGGAGAAGGAGGAGGGGCATTAAACATGCTCCCTTGTTTATTAAATTTCAGACAAAATCTCCCCCTCCCCTTATATTAACCCCCACCCCCCGTTTATTAGATTTTGACTAAAATACCCACCCACCCGTTTATTCCCACCCCCATTGTATTCGGCACTTGAGAGTTAATTTATATACTTTCAAGCAAAAAAAATACTAAGGGCTGAGTGTTTATTATAAAAAATGTTGTTTTTTGAAAAGTACAAGATGCTCTATTGCACATAGTTTAAGAAGGTCTAAAAAACTAGCAAGTGTTAGACATTTATGCTAAGGAGACTCATCAAACATTTAAATGTAAAAAAAGTAATTTTTCAATGTTTCAGTTAGTAGCCTTTTATCCAATTCAAAAAAAAATAAAAAGTATGGAAGCAACATGTTCCATTAAAAATTAAAGGACCATGTAAATCTTATTTTGTGCTTTTATTTACCAGATTAAAAAAATCCAAAACTTATATTAGGTAAATCAAAAGAAATTTGAACTTTGCTACAATCCAAAGAGCTTAAACTATTATTCTATATAACTCAAACTCCAAAAAGATTTTTTTACTTTATTGTCTGTGTCATCCTAAAATCAAACATCTAGGTTCATTTTATTTTTTCTATAAATTTGTTATAAGATTCATCAAATCTATAAAGTGATGTAAAAAAATGGGAATTTGTTCAATTTATTTAGCATTGTTTTATCAACAAAAGAAACAACATTGTGACATAAAATATAACTGCTTTAATTTTCCACAAGTTTAGCAATTTTAATGAGTGGAAAGATGAAACTGAACAGCATTCTGAAAAACGGTATGAATATTTACATTCTAAAGTAAATTTATGAGCCACAAGTCTTGAAATTTACTTTTATACTTTATTATTACTTTCTACTTTTTTAAACAAAACAAATAAATTCTTTATGATAGACATATCAGAAAATAACTATATACAATTTTCATTAATATTGTTAAATGGATATTATTAATATGGATGAATGCCATCTGTGTCTGTTGGCTTATGCTTGCTAAGTTTTAAGAGTAGCAACTATATGTAGTTTTCCTTAGTCTTTATTTAAAAAACTTATGTAATTTTCCTAAATTTTCTATTGTCTTCTTCATCATAGAAAATAAGTGTTACTTAAATACTGGCAGCAATAAGTTGAACTTAAAGGAGTTTTAACCAGTTGTAATGTTGCCATTTGAATCTTATATTTTACTTTTTTTTCATTTACTACTTAAAATGCATTTAGTTGCATTAGTTATTTTATATTGAATTTCATTTAAAAATATCTTATCAAAATATCTTAAAGTAGTAACTTTTTGGATAGTAAAAATAGAATGCTAGATATATATTTTTAGCTTCAAAGAATATCTATTATAAAAATATAAATTAAAAAAACATTTCATAAATGTTTTACAATATTTTTAACAGTTTATGAAATTTTACAATTTAATAAACTGTTTTACAAATAGATCTTATATTTTACAAACACATCACATATTTTACAAATACATCATATGTTTTACAAATAATTTTATCATTTATATTATACGATCATTTTTCAAACAAACTTGTTTTTGTGGCTAACAATGTATGTCTATCGATTGTGTGTAAGTTAATACAATTATAATGTTGTTATTTCTTTTAATTCTTTTTTTAACTTTTTTCCTTACTTTTTCATTATTTTGCTTTTATTTTATGAATACTATTTAAATATTATTTAAATTTTTTATTTGTTTATTTGTTTTATGTTTCTAAGTGTCACCTTAGTGACTAGTTTGTAATTAAATGAGTAATGTCTAATCAAGTACTATTACATTTCAAAAAATTATAAAATTATTACCAAGAAAATTATAGAAATAAAGAAACTAAAAGTTTAAAATTAAAACATAAAACCTTGATATAAACTACTGCACAATTCAACCTCAGTGTTGTTTCCAGTGCAATTTAACCATTGATTATTGCTACAATTTCGAGTTCGAGTTATGACATAAGATGTATCACAATGTGACCATTCGCTCCATTCAGACCATATCACTTAAAAAAATAATAATATTAAAAGCATAAAAAATTATCACTAATGATAAAATACTAAAATTAACAGTTTCAGTACAAAAATTATCTTTAAGTTTGAATTTGGGCAGGCAGCAAAGAAGAACTTTTTTTTTAAACATAAACTTATTAATAATATTTTGTAGAACTCAAACTATATTTTGGGCAAAGTTTTATTTATATAAATTTAAAAATGATTTACAAAAAATAAGAAAAATATAAACAAATAAATAATGTTGAAATCATCTGTTGTAAAAACAAATCATTTATCAAACTTTTTTTTCATTCATGTTTACACATCATTCATGTTTGATTTTATAAAAAATAAAATAAAAAATAATGAGAATGTCATTATATAAAGTTACAAAGTATTTACCTTGTGTATTGCTATAAATTGATAGGTTTTGAATTGACCCATAATTACAAACATGTAAACTATAACAATTAGGAAAAGTATACAAAATGACATCTGTGAACATCTGTGGCTGAGTACAAAAACTTAAAAACTGGACAGATCCATTAACATTTACAGTAATTTCATAAATATTGTCATCGTCTATGAAATATTGAGAAATCATGATCGAACTCCATGTATTAACTGTTATTGGAACTGCGTAATTACATAATCCAGTAATTGTTAAAAGAAAATCAAAAACATTGAAGTCCATCAGACTACCTGAACTATCTTCTATACTTATAACAGTTGTGGGGTTTTTTCCAGTATTTATTATATCAAAGGAAACAACAAATTCATCATAAAAAGCATTTAAGATTATGTTAGAGAAGTTATTTATTTTAGCAACAAATATTGAATCTAAAAAAAGTAAAATAAAATTATTGCATTTTATTATAATTTATTTCTAATAAGCATATAGATCTTTTTCTAAAATAAAAATAATTATAAGATAAATAAGCGATAACTTTGAACAATTAATTTTCAAAAATAAGTAAATATATAAGAAAAAAAATCTTATTTTATTAGGTTTATTACTAAATAATTGTAAAACTTAATTATGAAGCTTCATTTTAATAACACATAAAGTTCATTTATGAACTGTGTGCTAAAATTATTGATAAGTATTTGTTTTAAACTTGAAAAAAAAAATCATTTTAACATATCTATATGAAAAATAAGATGATCCTTTATTCACAGAAGGAAAAAGAAATATTAAAAAAAAATATTGTTAAAAAGATTTATGAAACTGTAATAAAAATCTATTAACAGAATAAACTAACTGATATGTAAAGAAATATGCTATTTTAGTTCCCAAGTTCAATAAATTTATAAAGATACAACATGGAAAGTTTAAATAACATCATAAATTGATTCTTTTGAAATGAGCTTATAAGTAGTAATCAAAAATATGTAATAATTTGGTTCTTACAACTCAAAATTTAAAAAAGCTTATAAAATGAACAAAATGGTATGAATTTTACCACATTAAGACAGAACAGTACATAACATTAAGACAGAACAGTACTCCCACACAGCAATTAGCTCTTAACTGGTAATGACATAAATGGTCAACAAACATAGATTTAAGTGAAAGGTTCTTAACTCGCAACTACATTAAAGGGTGTGAGTAAAATCCACATTAGACCAAGTGAAATGGAAAAAAACAAGGAAATGTAAATTGTTTCGACAACTTGGCTATAGCTCCTTGCATGTTTTAAGTTAGCATATTTAAAAAATATGCTAGATTAACAATTGTATAACTATAAACTGGAAAATGAAATAAAAAATACAAAATTAAATTGAAAAAAACTAAAAATTTTAATGAATGATAAAATGAATCAAAAATAAACCAGAAAATATAAAAGTATAAAATTAATCATTTTATTTTAATTTAAAAGTTTTTACTACAAAACATTTAGAAAAAAAAGTAGCTTTTATGTTCACCAGTTTATCTTTTATGTTTATCAGTTTATTTCATTTTGTTCATTATCGTTTGTTTCAGTTTGTTCATTAAGTTTGTTTCTCTTCTCAGTTTATGGTTTAATTATTTTTAAATTTCTCTTTAAATTATATTGATTTTTTCTGTGCAGTTTTTAAATTCACAAATTATCCACATATGCAAAAAAATTAAATAGATAAATTAAATACAAAAAATTAAATACAAAAGATAGTTTTAACAGCACACCAAAGACTTGACTAAATACAGAATTCAATCTTTTACTTTTTGTAATACTTTTTTTATTAAAGAA